TGCGCCATGGAGCGGGCATGAGTATGCCGGGAATGCCTCAACCTCCGGCTGGGTACCCCCGCAGCATGAACAACGCTCCCCAGTACTCCCAGGTTGGTTTTCTCTGTAATTTCCTGTTATTTAATAAGGAAAGTTGGCATTGAGCGAAAGGCTGTAAGTTAATTTTGCTGTGGGCTATTTGTTATCTTCTAAGGGTAAAAGCAGTCCTAAAGTTTGGGTTTAAGCTAAAGTATCCCGTTATAACGAATCACCTGCCAGAAAACAGGAACAACGTTAAAGCTCAAATCACTCCTAAATTCAAGGGTTGGACACTACGTTACTTCCGCATTCGAAAAGGTAATGTAATAATTACTGCCACCAGTATATTCAATTTACCATGATTTATATGGCCGCTCCAGTGATTGCTCATTGTGTGCTTTAATTATTTGGAGGTCTAATCAATATGATTAACAAAGTTTTGTGCATGTGCGATAGAGAGAGTCACGTGGTTGCCCTTAGCCTCCTGTCAGTTAGCTTTAAAACAAAAGTAAGTTCATCATCACTACCATCTGTCAGAGCTCAGTCTGCACATTTGATCCCAGTTTGCCACCATCTTGCACTTTCATGCGGTTTTTAGTTGAGATGATTTATTATAGCTGTCTTATGTTTGTTAGAGTCCTACGGGTTCAGATAATTAATTAAATGAATGAATGAATTGGGTGTTTTTCAGACTCTAACTCCGTTGTAAAGCAAGGTGACGATTGAAACATCAGGAATTAGCCATTGTCTTCACATGCATACAACGGACATCAAAATGTATACACACATTACATTTATAAACGTACTATATTTAACAAATGTTAGATTTGCTGTTCTCACATTATCCAACCTGCACAGACTATACATTTCTCATTTCTCAGTGCCTCACATGTTGATGTTTTATATGCTGATTATGATTAGTACTGTAATTTGTGGTACACACGATAATATCCTGTGCAAACATTGTTTCTGCACACTTCTTTTTATATACTATGGATGGCAGTACACATGGGCATATAGTAAGCCCTTAACATATAACTTAAATTTTACATAAATGTATGTTAGCCTAATTATTTTACACTGTTGCTTCATTAGTGCTCAAGACCTCGTAAAACTCAGGAAGAACTAATCCTTCCTATGTTTCTACTGCTTTTGACATGAAAAGGCGACTCATTATTGTAAACCATTACTGTAAGAACCAAATGTGGCTGTCATCTGCTCGTACTTATTTTCCTAATCGCCATTTTTGTAAGGGAACATGGTGAGATGGACAAAGAGCACAGGACTGAAGAAGAAACGGGGTTACTACACAACAAAGTGTTTTCTGTACTTGAACCTGAAATGATAGTATCCCTCCTTTTCTCTAGCGCCCAGGGATGCCACCCAGTAGAGTCGGGGGCCCCTTGGGGTTGATGGGGGGTCAGCTACCTGGTCCTTCTTATTGTGGTGCAAACATGTCCATGCGGCCAGGCATGGTGCCTCCGAGCATGGACGCCTCGAGGAAGCGGTTCCTTCATCAGCATCAACCGCAGCAGCAAGAGGTGCTGGGAGGCGGCCTCAGACGAGGGTAAAGTACCAGTGTTTGTGTGAGAAAAGGAGAAGAGCTGGAGAGGAATAATGTCAGAGTTGATTGACCAACACAGCCTGGGAAAAAATCAGTAAATGGCCTGAAACTAACAATAATTTCCATTAATTATCATTTAATAGGTGGATTCTTTTCTCCATTAATCCTTAGGTCACAAACCCAGAAAAAAATGACAAAATACAATTTCCCACTGCCCAAGGTGACATTTTCAGATTGCTTGTTTTAAACACCAGTTTAAAACCCATACATGCCATTTACAATGATATGAAAATGCTGCAAATCCTCACATTTGAGAAGTTAGAACTTGTTTGGCATTTTTGTAAATTAACTGATTATAAAGATTGGTACTGCATCATTTTCTGTTGATTGCGTAAAATTTATACAATCCACCAAATACCGTAGTTTAACAAACAACGATAACATTTTTTTCTCAATATGCTTTTTGTTAAATTTTTTATTGCATGTTTTCAAACTGACTCTGATCAAGTAGCCTAGTTGGTCGTAGAGTAGTATATTTATTTTGTTGCTTTTTATGACATGCTAATACCAAAGAAGTGTTCATTGAGGTCATGAAGTTTTAAAGAGGGCTGCTGTATATAAGAGGAAAACCTTGAAATTGGGTGTTTTTCCTCATTATGCATGACAAAGTTTGTGTACTTAAAAGATGCCAAATGAACCTATTACATCCAGGGGAAATGTTAATCAAGTTAATAGTTTTTGGTAACCAAAATACATATTGTTCTACATAACGCTACTGTAGTAATATCATCACATGAATATTTAGTGACTACACTTGCTTGTTTGGGCTCATTAGCACTATATGAACTTTACTCTTTATTTCAGGATGTGTTTTTCTCTCTGCAGTCTGTTTATCTGCTGAAAACAGCTCCAGTCACACAGACACAAGGGTAGGGTTATCTCATGACTGGCCTTTGCTCTCTAAGCAGCAGACACACTCGGTACTTTTGACTTCACACTGCTCAGTTGTGCCACCCTCATAAATGCTGCAAGCCATGATGAGAGGCAGTATTTACAGTTTCATCTACAAAGAGCCTCTTGTCTTTAAAGGTTTATCTCATGACAAAATTTCCAGTATAGGAGGATTAGTGAACCCCAGGTTTAGAGGCAATTTAATTAAAGAAACACAACACCTTTTTTGTTATCAATACCAATGATAAGTGGGAGCCTTAAGTGCTGAGTTAATGAAGAGAGAGCAGTGGTCGAGATTTTGTTATTACACTTTGAAGTCTTCACAAATTATTTTTAACTCGGATTAAGTAAATGAGGTCTTTATATGTCAGTGTGTGGTCAGTTCTTTTAAAAGGCAGCATAGTGCAGCGTGTACTCATCTGATTCAGTCAAATTCTTTGTGGCAGCCAAAATGAACATAGTATTTTGGAAATATTCTTATTTACCATCTTTTCTGTGTGATTCAGGGCAAAAAGACGCAAGATGGCTGACAAGGTTCTCCCACAGAGGGTAAGACATTTTTGATACACTAAATTGTGTCTTGATTGGATAGAATTTGATAATAGTTGTCTGTAGTTCCTTGATTTTTACATCCTGCTACTGGCTCTGTAGATTCGAGACCTGGTCCCAGAATCCCAGGCTTACATGGACCTCTTAGCCTTTGAGAGGAAACTGGATCAGACCATTGCCCGAAAGCGCATGGAGATTCAGGAGGCCATTAAGAAGCCCATTATGGTATCCCTTCATGATTGTGCATTGTATGATTTTAGGATACTAAAAGGAATTTTTGAGACGAGACTTTCATGATTTATGAGTATTGTAATCCAAAAGTCAGCTCTTCTGTTGTTATTGCAGCTTCTCAACCTTGTGTTTTCAAAGTCAGGTCTGTAAACTAGCCCCAGCTGCCACCTAG